GTACGAACAAAAGTAAGAGAAATTTAGGATAAGAATACGAACATGTTCTTGCATGAGGCTCATTGGTACTCAACCTTTGCATTAGTCTTATGCAGCCTATGAAGGGCCATGAGGCAGCAATTCTTAAGCATTTACCAGAGAACTGAGTGAAACCCAACAAGAACACACTGTACAACCAAATATTGTGACATTGTTGTATATTTATTCACCTTTTTGCAAAGTTTTTGTTATCAATTTAAAATTAAAGCATAAACATATGCATGTGCTGTACTACGTTAGCAAAAGCCCCAAACTGAAAGGTCCAATAATAATTTCATACCAAAGAAATCCAAAACTTATTGGTTTTTCTCTCTTTCTTAAATTTTTTTCATCATACCCGCAAGATTTGTCTTTTAACACCCTTTTCGCCGTGTTTCTGACCATTTTGCCACGACAATAATGAAAAGCACTGAATGAAAATATTCAGTACATGTCAGGACACAAATTTACTTCTCAAAGTAAAACGTATTACACTAAAGGTGGGTGGTTGGCTGGGGGTGTGCGCTTGGCCGTTGGCGGTGTGGTGGGGTGGTCGTGGGCGTGGCTTCTCTGCGGCGGGGGGCTGGCCGGGTGACTGACTGGTCACTGAGTGTGTATTTATGTCTGTGTGTATATATCAACAGTATGCATGAATGTATGCATGTATGTATGTATATCTATATATTTATGTATGGGTGTGTGTATATATGTACGCATGCCATCCATGTATTTATCCATTTATTTTAAGGTGAGCAGACAGATGTTGGGTGTGTGGACCTGTGTTTTCTTGGTGTATATTTAATATATTTCTAATCTTTATTTCAATCTTTCTAATTACTTTTTTCTTTGTTTTCCTCTCTTAAAAAAGAAAAGAAAAAAAAACACTGAAGGGTAATTCTTTTCTCTGGTTTGTGCTGCCTAATGCACCCAAGACAGTAAGAACTTTTTTAAGTCGTAATTTAGATTTTTAAACAGAAAAACAGGAGCTCATTTATTTGTAATTGTGGTCTCAGATTCGAAGGCACTGATCCTCTTTCCAGGTCTTCTCTAATTATTATATGATAAATAGGCTTGACATACTAACCAACACATCGAGGTAAAGGAGCGCTCCACATTCTCCGCCCTCCTCCCAGGCAGATCAACTCCGGCGCCCCCTCCAGACGGTACCCCATGTTGCAGGAAAAGGACAAAGTGTCCCCGACTCCAAAACTGTAGCCATTTCTCCTGCCGAACCGAGGCATCCCGGGGTCCTCACATGGCTCCAAAGTGTATTCTGTGGGGAAAAAAAGATAAAATAATGTCAAATTAAATCAACAGGAAAAAATGCTCACCTAAAGTTTAGTGCTAACATGCTTGCATCGAAAAACTTAAAAATAAATAAATAAAATAAAACAACAAGAAAAAAAACAAAATTATCATGTTTTAAATGGGCACAGCATTCGAAGAATTTAAAAAAAAATCTTAACACCAAAATAAGATTACCCTCATAAATCATTTAATTTCAGTTCTAGGCACTAATGTGTGCTTACATAGTTACTGTGAGGCTATATACAGCCGCATAAATTAGTTATTTTTGTCCACTTCACTTCACTCATTATCATTGCCTGGTCCTGCAGTCCCTACGGACCTGCTAGACTCAAACCAGACCTTTTTATTTTTATATTTTTGGACTTTACTTTGGTAGAACAAGCTACTAAATGTAATCAGGGCAGAGAAAATTAAGCATTTTATGTCTTCAGTGAACATATTTTTTAACAGCTACAGTAGTCCCAACTTCCTATCGGTTTCCCTACATTTACTGTGTTTAAATACATTTAACTTTAGTTATCGTTGTAATAAGTGTCTCTTTCTGTTTCATAACTTCTAAATTTCAATGTCCAAAAAAGATTTAAAAAATATTTAAATCTCATGATCAGAC